AAATGTATTCAGTTGTAAAAAATGGAGAAAGAAGCTTCCATTCTACATCCTTTATCTGAATGCAAAAGAAGCGTATTTTGGATCTGTTTTTTATGAGGCCTTTAGATGAAAAAAATTCAGAATATTGTGGCTAATCAAGCAATGTGACAGGAATATTCTGTTCAATGATACAAAATAACAACATTTGCCAGTCAGTATTTACCTTATTGTAAATTTTCATCAATATTTTATTTTGTTTTCGTTATTTATCCTTCCTAATATATACAAAACTCCATTCACTTCAAAGTTACTCGCTAATTAACAAAAACAATTTGAACAGCAGTCGTCCGCGAAATAAAGGCAAACAAATAAAAGAACGAGAGTGTAAAAGAAAGAAATAAATTACTTACTATGAAATCTGTTATTATAGTTATCAAAACCTGGCATGAAACTAGGACGCACTCATCCCAAACGGGTGAGTGAAGAGTGCATATAGTTGAGAATCTCATTTAACAGTTAAACAACTAATTTATAGTAGTGGACTTTGTTTAAAAAGAGAACCGGATTTCTTTAGGAAGCATCACAATTATCGCATTTTATTCCTGCAATCTATAAATAGTGGTAGATGGAGTGAGGATAAAATATCATAATTCATACTACTGCAAAGGCGACTCAGAGCTGATGCTTCGGAAGGTAAAATACTTGAGTAAATTAATTTTCTTTATAGCAGTTGACTCGTTACTACTACTTGTTTGAAAGGTGAAACAAAGTTCTTCTGTTTAAGCTACGAAATACTGACAAGCCCCAAAAATTACATGCACACACTAGTGTATAAATAAAGCCTAACAAAATATTCTAATACTTCTTAAACTCTTTATTGGCAGTCCCATTCCCATAAGCGTGGTCGTTGTTTTTTTATTTATATCATTATTCCTTAAGATCTTAGTGGAAAATATGGCTTCAACAGCCAGTCTATGTTGTTCCTGTTCTCTACGGTCTTTTTCAGCTGGCCACAGGAGTGCCTTTAAGCTTTCATCTCCTCCTTAAATGATCTCCTCTGTGTCACCCTAGGACGCTCAACTCGCCGTTGCTTACTTGTACTTTACTTGAGGGCCCGGTGTGAGGTGTAAGCTGACGGTCTCCTCAGTGTGTGTTCGATCAATCTCCATTTACTTCGGCATTTTTGTTTAGTGTTGTATAATTACTAATTTAAGGCATCTTTGAAGCCAAAAACATTTCAAAAGTGATGAAAGGTTGATTGATCCAGTATTTAAATTAACAGGAAAACAATTTCTTTCTGATTTTTCAACATTTAAGTTATGTCAGTGCTTCTGCATGGTTCAAAGACTCAGTGAGAGCGCAACGGAAATTGTTTCCAATGTGTCGCAGATTTTTGTCTACAGCTGCTGGCTACTGGCTCGATACTTTAGACAACATGGCCAGAATGAATATGCATGAATAAATTCTAACCACGAACGAAGCAGGTAACTACTTCTCAATAAGTTTGTTGAATGATATAGAGATATATCAGACATACACTGTGGAGGCATTCAGGTGACATAGGACGCCATACCTTTGGGTGGAAACCGAATAGACATCCGAGTAAGACATGATAGACGTCGTCTGAGTAGGAGATAAGAGTTAACAGACAAATCTGGAGCCAACTAAAAAAGATTAGAGAGAACAGTGTCAAATAGTGATTTTCTGCTGACGCTTTATGCTCCACTAGAAGCTTAACGAATAAATAAAAATAGTTTGATCGGCTTATAGCAAGTTATAAATACAAAGAAACCTTTTCTGCGTATATCGTAAGTGCTACTATCGTTAAGCACGTAACATTTACTTCTTCAATATTAGTAAAACTACATGGGTGCATTTTACTCGTAATTATGGGAGCTTTCATCTGATTATTATGTAAGCATATTCAGAATATGATAAAAACTGTTAAAAATGCACTGACAAATCATCATTTCTACCAATTCATCCACAAAATTTGATGCATCTCCTACAAACATAACAAAATATCTCCTATGAATTGGATGAGCGGTTGTCAATATAAAACTTACATTTAACTCAATCGGAAAATGATTTCCTTCTTTTGTAATATATTTAATGAGTGACCTTAAATCTATATGATAATGTATCTGACCTGAAGGTTAATAGTCTCCTGCAGCTTAATTGATGCACTGTAACAATAACACAAACACGATAACACATATATGCATCGTGCTTCATTTAAATGTACGAATATTTTGGATTATAACCTTTTACTAATACAGATGATAAACACTTTGCGTTATATTGTTTTAACCCATAGTTACTTATTCCGTGACAGCAGTAGCTTTGGAAATCTTTCTATCAGCTTGCCCTATGGATATATATATGCATAATATGTTAGTTAGAATGTAAAATGGTCTTACTTAGACCCTAGGGACTAGAGAAGTCACGACATGACTGAAGAAGTAAATGTTTTATTTTTTTAATTGAAAACAATAAATTCCCAACAAATATCTATCCTCGCTCTTTTACTATGACTTCTTTAAAATGTTAATAATCCGCCACTTTTGCAAAACATGTTTTGAAAACGTGCTGAACAGTTAAGTGACTACATAACCGTATACACGCTTATCCACCTGACTGAAGATAACTCAGCTTTAAAAAAACATTAATTGTCAAGAGTAATTAAAAGTGAAAGGTATTGAATGAATAGAGGAAATTAGTAGAAAAGCATATATTGAAATGGAATTTTTCCACTGCATTAAAAGCTTTCATTGAACGAATTTTAAGGAGTAACTATAGCGCGTAGGGCAAAAGTATTTTATAAAATACGCAAGACTTAAGAAGTATTCGTTTTCGCTTACAGAAGGAATATAGGCATCTTGACAGCGAAAATGTCTACTTCACAAATCCCAACAAAAATAATATATAAATACATAATTATATTGTGTATTCTTTTTAATTTCCCAACTTTTATTACTGACAGAAAATTCCTGGCTCTGACTATGATACAAAAATTGCCATTTACATCTGTGAATTTTTATGTAGTCATTATCATTTTATGAACAGCTTTGAAGTTAGAATGTCTTCTGCCTTGAAGTAAATTATATTAACTCTGACTTGTATATCAGCATGGTAGAGTAAGTCACAGCTTCACAGACTCAAGTATCGAAAACAGTCAATATGTTTTATCTGTCAAACTCACTTGGAAGAGGATAGAAACCTGCAACACAAAGTTCAATTCATTAGTATTATTTTGTCTTCTCAGTTGTAATATTTTGCATTTTCAACTCTCTTGTTCTTGCAACAGGCTGTTGGAAATATTCTTTGTGACCCACCCGCCAAGTTCCTGGTCCGTTCCGTATAGAAGAACTGACTGACTTGACGTTGTTTGTATTGAAAATCCAACCGAATTTTGTTGTTGGTGCTGGCTGAGTGACGAAGATTTCCTTCCAGATTGGTTTCAGGTTAATGAGCGAATGTGTTTCTCGCCTTCCCGATTCTCGCTCGATTTGACATCCTCGTCCGTTCCGACCGGCTGTAGTTGAAACAATGTTCCCTAGATAAGTGAATGATGTCACCTCTTTCAAATCCCTCCATTGATGGTGATTGACGCTGGATGTTGCTGTTGTTGGTTGGTTGGTTATTTTCACAACCTCCGTCTTGTCTATGTTCACCTGGAATCCTATCTTCGCTGGCTGCTTGTTCGACCAGTTTGTCGGTTTTCGCTTGTAAGTCTTCGATTTGTGTGACATCACACATAGATCTTCCTTGAAATCCAGGTCTTTTAGGTTCTTCGCGTCGGTCCAGGATATTCCTGTCTACTCGTTTCCCACTCACTTTCTGACGCATAATCCAGTCAGTCCACCACAATTAGGAATATCATTCATTGGTGATAATAAGCCAGCATCCTTGTCTGACTCTTGTGTTTACTCCAAACGCCTCGTTGAGTTCTCTGTTGTGGATCACTTGACATGTTCCGTTGTCGTACAGCTGTTGAATAAGATTGATGAATATTTAGGGTACGCCGTAGTACTCGGGTAGTTTCCAAATTACTTCGCGGTCAACGCTGTCTGTCGAAAGCCTTCTCGAAGTCGATATAGTTGAGGTAGAGGTTTGACTGCCATTCCAATTGGCTGTCTATTACGCTTTTATTCATAGAATCAGATAATGTAACTATAAAATTATAATCAGATGTGGTTATATCACTTTATGGTCGTGAATTTGGCCTAACTCGTGTTCTCCTTTTCCGTGAGAAATTTGCAAACTTGGTCCAGATTTCAAATTCAAGTTAAATCATCAGTCAGTCATATCAGTATATAAGCAGCATACTGACAGAATTTCAACAGTAATCAGTAACTGGTCTTCTTATTTAATTTAATTCCATAGGGGATAGAAATGATTAAGTCGATTGTGAAGATAATTTGAGACGGCAAAAACGTGATTTCGGCACTACTCATTCTAGCGACATAGCAGTGAAAGTAAGATAGATTAAGGAACTGATTTCATCTGTACGGATGTTGGGATCCTATGTTGGGAAGTTTGATTTCCTTGAATACTAACAAAAGCTGTTTTATCCACGTGACTACTTACCAAACTGTTGCCATAAAATAAAGCATTTTATGAAAATTGATGACTCGATATTAAAAGCAAGCCTCAGAGATGAACAGCCTAATGAGATCTTTCGGTTTACTTCCAGATCTGACAGACAAAGATACGAAGACATAACTCCAATGAATGCGTGTCTAGAATGAAAAAAAGAAACTTATCTTTCATCCAAAATGTTTATCAGTGGAACTAATATCTGAATCTCCTTATTTGTAAACCTGCTGTACAAACTTCTGCACAGCACATTTAACCGGTTACACTAAAAAACATGCATTATTCGGTTACAGGGTGATAAAACGTTATTACATATACGCTTAAGAAATTAATAGTGTCATGAAAACACTGCCACCTAGTTTTGATCTGTGTTTTGCATTTTACAAATTAATTATTTCGACTTGAAATACAATCTTTTTCAGAAACTAGCGCTGAAAGATTTCTCCTCGGAAGTTCGAGCGAATTTGGATATCGACATGTTCATTAAAGAAGCAACTCTGCTATTGGACCTGGATGGATCCACCTTGGAAGATATTATCAGTTCTATGTTAGAAGCAGTTTTTGATAATCGACCTATTGTCGATACAACTACTACAGCATCGGTGACTGCAACAACTAATACACATGCTAGTGCCAGCTCCCTGATGAGATCGATTCAAACCAGTGGTCTCGAACTTCGGCAACTGTTAGTAGTGGTTTTGGACCAAAGGTTAACTTCTCTATATCCGGAAATTCTGATAAAACAAATACATCGAAAGTTGACGTAGAAAACATGAAACTGGAAGCTAAAAATTCCCTTCTGATGCAAATAAACTTTCAAGGATGTTCATGTGAGTGTTTTCATGCACTTAAATATTCAGTCTTTATTTTTTACATTTTAAACATGTGATATCTCGAGTCTTGTGAACTTGAAAAACCATTGATAAATATTCCTGGACTCTTCATCATTTGAGTGGAATTCACATACCAGGTAGTCCAATTAATGAGAACGGAGACAAAAATAAATTCATGTCGTTCTGATAACCAAAAATTTCAGGTTAATGTCAAAACTTATTTGGCTTTTTTTGAAGAACATCCTAAGTATTTTGTCACTTTAAAGGAATGCTTTCTCTTCTAAAAGAAGTATTTATATACCTATTTTATGCGGAACACATACTATGGCAGTGTAAGAGCCATTCTGATTGAAAGCCTCATTAACTTTAGACTCAAGTAACCTCGTTCTAACAGCAAATTATTGTAAGGACTTCAAAGTAAATTGATTTATTTCATCTTTTATTGGTAGTATTGAAAGCTACTCTGAGTATATATGTCTATATTACTTTGTAACCATTCGCTTACTAACCCTATGAAAGTTTGAGAAATCGATGAATTTTAAGAAGTATTACAAGAACTTAGGAAGCAAAGCTTTGTAACAATATGTTGTCTTGTTTAATATACCTCGAAAACTACAAATATTTACAAAATCAAATATCATTCAGTAAGTGCCTAATTACTTAATATCACGTAGTCAAAACTTCACTTCAATTTCCACTTGTCTCAATCTACCGAAAAACTTCGAGAAAAGAAAATTAGATTTTGATCTGGAAAATAGTTGGAGATATTTTCATATAATGAAAGTGAAAAGTAGACATTCAAGGGTCAAGTGCCTTTTATTGGATAGTTGTTATTAGAGCAAAAAGAAATTATTTTTACCTACAACCAAACATTATTTGTATGTCATTCTAAAGACATACGGCTAAATTAACCAACTCAGCTGGGATTATGTTAACAAAAATGATTAACCGCCGTCAAACCTACTTAAGTATCTGAAATTGTTTGACCACCCAGCACAAACATATGAACACCCAAGTAAATCGTTTGTTAGATACATACTTGCTGCTGAAATGTGACCTCAAAACAACAAACCGTCACAGTGGAGTGCTTAGTGAGAATATATCAACATATATATATATATATATATCAGGTAGATAGACAGTATTAACATTGGGTTACAGATTTTTATTTTTGGATCGCTAATGCTTTAGATATGCCCAGATATTTATTTTTGGGAATTATATCTCATCGGTATAACCATAGCAACTTAAGTCCTTCAACCCCCGCCCAAAAAAAAATAACTATGACAAGCTACTTGCGAAAATTCCATTTGGGTAGGGTATGTATATGCTATAGACACAGACAACCGCTTCACTTTTTACACCCTTTCAAAATTCACACCGAAATTACTCTATTTCGTGAATGAAAGCAGCTCTATGAGTTTATTCCATTTTATTTACTTGTCATTTCAGAAGAAGTGTAATCCAGTTTTGTCCAGAAATGTGTTCAAGAATATTTGTAACTGTTTTTCTGTCAGTGTATGTTTATTCTGATTCCTTTTATTATTTACCAGTGAATATGTTACATAAAGCTGTAATGTTAATCGGATAACACACTACATTATTTCTTGACAAGAAAAATTTTGAGTGGTAAGTAGTGTGTCACTGTAGGCTGTACCAAATGAAAAATCCATTATAGGACTTAACTCTGTTGAATAATATGTTTGCATTCAAGCATTCTAAATTTAAGTAATTGTCATCAGTAACTAAAGGGCTTTCGCAAAAACACGTCGCATCATTACTCTTTACTTCCAAATAATACTTTGCTATTGTGGTGATCAGCTGTTTGAAATTCTCAGAAAAGTGTACACACCACTACTTTTTAAATGACTTCACAGACATTTTAGATTGATAGTTCGTCAGCTTACATTGTTAAACTAGTTGTAACAGTTTAATTATTAAACGGTACACATTTATTGAGACTGCATTGTATAAACAATGACAACATTTATCAGTTTATAAATGCCATGGAATGGCAGTCACCTCTCTATCTCAACTTCATTGACTTTGAAAAGGCCTTCGATAGCGTCGATCGAGAGGTCGTTTGGCAACTACTTCGCTACTACTGGTGCCATCGATAATTATACATCTCATCCAGCAGTTGTACGACAATGCTGGATGCCAAGTAATCCACAACGAGAAACTTTCGAAAGCCTTCTCAGTGACGACGGGAATGAGGCAAGGCTGTCTACTATCGCCAATGATTTTCCTGATTGCAGTAGATTGGATAATGCGACAGACAACGGGGAATGAGGAAACAGGCATAAAATGGATTCACATAAAAACTTGGAGGATCTGGACTTCGCCCTTTATGATATATGTCTGATTTCCCACAAACTGGAAGATATGCAAGTGAAAAACGACAAGCTGGCAGAAGAAGCATCAAAGATAGGACTTCACGTGAACATATATAAAACAGATGTGATGTAGATTCCTGGCCAACACCAACAGCAGCAAGAAAGGACAACAGTCAGCAGCAATGGTAGGAAACTGAAAGAAACAACCTCCTTTACCTACCTACCTGGGAAGCATCGTTTTTTAACTACAGGCCGAACTGACGAGGATATCGAAGCGAGAATCGGAAAAGCAGTGCAAGATTTCATTACTCTCAAGTCTGTGTGGAGGCCAACAGCACTCACCATCAAAAATAACATCCGGATTTTCAACTCCAATGTGAAGTAAGTCAGTGCTACTATACGGATGGATCAGAGACTTGCACTGCGCGTCATAAAGAGCATCTCAAACAAGCTACAGACCTGCATTAACAATCGTCTTTGCTCAATACCACTCAAGATCAGATGGTCGGCCAGAGAAGATCAGCAACAGAGATCGCTGTCAATGAGCGAACCAACCAGGAACTGATTGTGAAACAAATAGGCAGGAAGAAATGGAGGTGGATTGGAATGTGGTCATACTCTGAGGAAACCATCAAGTGAGTGAAATCACTAGACAAGCCATTGCTCGAGTGGAACCCGAAAGGGAAGCGGGTGGCGAGTTGGTCGTCAGTGATAGGGTGGGGTGACTTGGAGGAGGCCATGTGAAGAGGAGATGAAAGCGCATGGGAAGACTTGGAGAGGGGTGAAAAAGTTGTCAGAAAACCGAAGGCAATGGAGACGCGCGGCTGAAGCCCTATGTTCCTCTAGGAATGAAAGGATATAATAATAATAATAAATGCCAAATTTCTCGTGTGGTTATTTTACTTATTATTCTATTTTCCTTAGATCAGAGACTTGCAAAAACCATTAAAGGTGTTTCACTAACAAACAGTGATTGCTTATCAACAGATCAAAGTTGGATTTGTGCCATGTAAGTTAGTGTCAAATATTGCATATAAAATAAATTTCTTATTGATTTTTTCAGAAGCATTATTATGATTAATGTAAATTACCCCCTTTTTATCACTCAGTATCTTAGAAATTGCTTTCAAATTATGCTAGTGACATCATCACTTCTTCTTTGTTCCGTATGACTAAGCCTCGCGAAACTGCTACTACGTAACCAGTTAGACTTCCAACGTGGTAAGAGTTTACTTACATGAAGGTGAGATTATCATAAACAATGGCAAATAGGATCAGATTTCTCAATTCTTTGCTTTACTCTCACCAGCTCTGTTTACGCATTTCATTTCGCATATCAGTTACCGCCTTATTTTTTGTGGCCAGTGTAAAAACACTCAAACATTGCAAGGTAATTCATGCAGAAATATATTTAGATAAAGTATTCTATTCAAAGCGTTCATAGCTTTTCGTGTCATACGCACTTGCACGGTATTAAATGGTAATTGTTAGTTAAAGGAATCGGTATCTTCTCATTACTAGATTTTGTGGCCTAAATTAGGTTAGACTTTACTAGTTCATCGAATCATTTTAGTAGGATTTGGAGTTTTTCCCCCTGTTTTAGTGACGACAAACTCTGTTGTCTTGTGGAATTTGTTGATACAGTTAGACACTGTACTGTAAAGTTTTTTCCCAAAAACTATAATATGTAACGCATCTCAGATTTGACTGTTGGTATTGACTAACAGAGTAAACTTCACACTCACTGTTTCACAGAAACGTCACATTTATATTTTGAATAACGATGACGACTCAGTTCAACTGAGTTTAACTTCTTTGTTACCTAAGCGTTTTGAAAATGGTCTGTAAGATCTACTAAGACGGTGAGGACTTTAAAAACTGATGATTTATTCTATCAAATTATGAAAAAGAGAAGACGTTCAGCGAAGAAACTCTTTTCGGCGAATTCATTCACATACCTGTACAATCGCATTTATATTTAATTATTTGTGTGTGTGTGTACATGAGCTTTGTCAAGTTCAGACAATTGATCAGGTAATAAAGAATGATCTAATACAAAAACAAGGTTAATCAGACAGCAACTAAAGTAAGATTGAGTAATTAAGTTAGATGACGTAATATAGCTGACTAAAATGTTTCAACTTAGGTCAGGGTAACAACATAGGTAATTACAGGTAGAGAGGGACTAAGTAGAAGTGGGGTAGAGAATGCCTAATGCCATTTAAATTAGAACTGAAATTCAACAAATAAGTTGGATGATATAACATAAATGACTAGAAATTGAGCGTTGGTCAAGTCAGTAACAGTGGTAGTGAGGCGTAGAAATAAAATCGGGTGGGGGTAGGGAACAAGAGAGTTGAAAATGCAAAATATTACAATTGAGAAGACAAAATAATACTAATGAAGAGATTGAAAAAAAAGATTAGATAGAATTTACTTGTCAGGTGATAAGATAGATTAAGTTCGTTGCAAGTGTAGTGATTGAACGAAATTCTTCTGTATGCAGAGTTCAGGACTTAGCAAGTGAATTACCTTTGCTTCTGCAGTTTGAAGAAGTCTGATTCGTGCACCTTTAGGAAGACTACTTATTACTCTGTAGACGACTTTGAAGTTTGTATCGGGTGCAGCTTGGTGTCCGGATTCTATCAGATGTTCTAAGATGGAGCTGTGGGGTCATCACTTTTCTCCTTTGCAAGACCATGTTGGTAAGTGTTCGATGATACGCTTGGAAAGCGGACGCTGGGTACTGCCAACATACCTGGCTCCATAGGAGCAGTTGAATTGACAAATACTGCAGTAGTAGCTTATCCTTCACGTTCACATGAATCATAGGTTTTGTGGAGAAGATTAGTCGCAATTCAGCTGCGAAGAAAATCTTCTTAAATGAGCGCAACAGTAGATTTTTTTCGTGTTTCCGTAGATATATCTCCTTTGAATTGAAGGTTCATGTAGAGTAGTTTTTTCGGGACGCTAAGCATGGGCGGATTTTGTGATCTAGGATTCATAGATTTTGCAATAAATCTTTCTGGGTAACAATTCCCGACGAGGATTCTCTCAAGATTGTCCAGTTCATCTTCTACGGTGTCCGGGGTACAAATTCTGCAAACTCTGTAGCTGCGTGAACGGATCAGATTTCGTTTGGTGTATAGGAGTACTCAACTGTGAAAGTGAATAAGCTGTTCGTTCCATGTTGACTTTCTGTAGATAGATCTTTTCAGTGTTCCTCCTGTTCTCGTCTTGTTATTTGGACGTCAAGAAAGGATATTTTGAAGTTGAACTCTTTCTCCAGCGTGAACTGAATTGCGGGGTAGCAGTTGTTAAACGACTTCAGGATGTCGTCTAGATTTTCTTCGTTGTTGACGATAATGAAAGTTTCGTCGATGTATCTCTTGTAGATTTCGAAGGTATCGATCATTTTCTTCAGGCATTTGTTTTTGAGTTTTACAATGAAGAAATTTGCAAGCAATGCACTAGTAGCTCAATAACCCATGATGGAATAAGGCAAAAAAATAAAAGAAAGCACATTGTGGCAGGCTTGTGCAGTGTAAAATGTCTCTGGTATACGGTAATTACGTAAATCGTCAATTTAGCAGACAGTTTTATTGATTCCTTTGAGAAATATGGCTACTTATTTCTGTACGAGAAAGAAATTTTTAACTAGGATTTTTTGGAGAAAATCCACTTTACGACAAGTTAATCTATGGTTGATTTTATGCATGGTTTACTAGAATAGTTAATAAAAGGTGCATTTTTTCTTGTGCATATGTTACAGTTATAGCAACAAGTAGTAATCTTAAGGGCCAACAGTAATGCTTAAACTGATGCATGAATCACCAATTAACTTTTAAAATGGTGAAAAACGAAGTAAAATTATACAGTTAATCAACATTAAACTTCTGATAAATGCTTCATTATATTTCTTTAGTTTGAAAAAATAATGTTTTTATTCACTGCAAAGCGTTGATAAATGGTGTCTCCTGGAATTCAGGATAACTTTAGACAGAACTCGCAGTTTTGAAAGTAATTATATCTACTTAACTCAATAGATGATATAAATTATTTATATTTCAAATAATAAATATAATCCTTTTTTATTAAATCAGGTGTTCATTACGATCAATTCATAAACGCTATCTTGCTTTAGCTCGATTGAGTAATCCAGTTAATTTGGACGATCAAGTGAAGGTACCTATTTAATTGTACTTATAATAACACCGACAAAAGAGGTAGGTGCATTTTCACAGTATTTAGTTTTCTTTGAAATATACACTAACAATACACTATAAGTAATAGCTTAGGCGATAAGTAGTTTAACATATACTCTATTGTAATTGATTTACAGAAAGCAAGGACAGAAACCAGTTCTCGGACTAAATGTTATTCCTATTATTATTGTTATCCCCTTAGGTCCCGAGTGGAACATAGGGCTTCAACAACATATCTCCACTTTGTTCTGTTTTCGTCTGTCCTCTTTATCTAGACCCACGCTTGATCATCAATCATCTCCTTCTCGCAAGATCCCATCAATGTCATCCTAGAACAAACCACTCGTCGTTTCCATTCGGGTTCCACTCGAAAGACGGCCTGGAGCGCAATGTCATTCAACGGTCTCCTCAGCTTCTAACCAATCCATCTCCGTTTTACTGTACATATTTGTTAAGCAGTGGGTTACTGGCTGCTTCACTCCCTCAAATTCCTATTGATAATTGTTTCCGGTCAGCCGTCTGACCTCCACCATCGAACCAGCAAACGTAGCTGGCCGTTTGAAATGCTTCTCGTGACACACTGTGCACGTTTCTGACCAATGTAGAAGAACTGGCTGTTTTAATGTTGGTGTTGGTAACTCGAATTTTACTGTTCATACTGCACAGTGGAGAAGATTTCCAAACTGATTTCCCAGTGATGGAGGTCTGTATTGCATTTCCGACCTTGTCTGGTTTTGACATCCTCATCTGTGCTGACTGTGTGTAGTTGAAACGATGCTTCCTCAATAATTGGAGGAAGTGACCTCTATCAAATTTTTGGAATTGTTAGTGAATGATACTTGTTGTTAGTGTTTGATTATTTTAATCACCTCTGTCTTCTCTATGTTTCTTTTGAACTCCTATCTTCTCTGCTAGACTGCTTCTTCTGCCAGTTTGTTGGTTTTTACCTACAAGTCTTCGAGTCTGTTTGACATTAGACATCAAACATCTGTGAAATCCAGATCTTCTAGACTCTTCCTTTCATTCCAAAATATTCCTGTCTTCTCACTGCTCTCGTACAGTCTGACGCATAATCCAGTTCACCACAATTTGGAATATCATTGATGACAGTACACATTTTTTTTTCTCACTCTTTTATTCACTTTTAAGGCTTCCTTGAGTTTTCCTTTGTGGATCGCGTGGTAAGTGCCACTGTTACATAACTGTTGAATGAGGTTGTTGCCTATTAAATATAAGAAGAATGAACTCTACTTAAGTTTATTTCTGCCTGTGACACCTTAAAGACAAGTAGTTGATTTCATGGTAGACAGTCATCATGTTCGATTGCGACATAAATTTTCAAACTGAAAGCACTAAAGAAATTATTATGCAGTAGAAGTGAAAAAAGTATATTATATCACTTTCATTACTTACAGTTTATAGTTAAGTTACATTTGTTTTATTTCATTACTTTAAAAGTGCATTTCACCTATTTTTAAACCTCGATCTCATTTAGATACTCTGATTAAATTCAAACATGATCAGATGACACTGTAACAGAGTTTTCAAGGGTATGGTTTATCACTTTAATACTAAGTAATCTGTATCAAGTTGTGAAGTAGAAATTTTCTTGAATTAGATTAATGCCAATGAGGCGCAATGAAAACATGTTTCAACTTCACTAGGTAGACCGGTTCATCGTAAGTAATTTTTAACTCAATGAATCAGCGTGAACAGACCACTAAGAACTAACCAGATTCGTTTCATATCTCTAGATATTAGGATCATAACTTTTGATAATAAGTTAACATGAAGCTAAAAATGGACTAATGTGTAACAGGATGTAACACACAGACATCTCTTATTGTACAAACTTTCGCAAAAGTTGTTTATAAGAAGCGTCCTCTTGTTTAAAGTAAACCAAGATCCTTGAGTAGTCAATATAATGCTCTCAGACTACAGAGTAAACAGAAGTCCATTAAAGATATTATCTGTTTCGAGTTTTTAACATCCGGTTGTTTAAAAAGTTAGTAAACTGTTGTGTAACATCCTTTTCATTGGTTAACAATCACTTAATTAGATTGATTTTTTGTTTAAGAAGGTTTCCATCTAAATACATTTAGTTTTTCTATATATTCACTAACCACAAAGGCAATCTATAAATTCAAAAATGATGATACCACCATAGAAAAATTATATTTATTAAGAGAAAAATACACTGAATATTATTTAAACAGTACATAGACGAAACATTTGCCCCAAACAAATCTTTCAATCAAGTATAGGGTGTAAATCACCAGACAGGAACTGTACTCGTCTTCACTGTATGAATAGCTTTTCCAGTTTGAGTATACAAAAAAGGATGCAGAATACAAAATACTTTTTTCCTTGTAAAAATGCAAATATAATTGGCTTTTTAAATTGAAGGATTACTTTTAAAAGCAACTTAAAATTCTCCAAACTGTTTTCGAACTGAATGTATTTTACTATGACCACTATTCACAAATTTCAGCTATTTACAGTGCTCAGTCAAATATATTTTTCAAGTTTGTAAGAGATTCATGCTTACCTTGAAAACTGTATCTATTGCACTCAGTGTAGTATATCTAACTGAGAGAGGTACGAGTCAAATTTACTAATAAACTTTCACTTATACGTAATTACACCTAATGAATGAATGAGGTATTTAATTTTATATACAAATATAAATTTGAATATTTGTTAATTTAAGAAAGGAACGAAAAGCGAAATAGAAGTTGGCAGAACATTCGGCACAATAATGGCTGATCCTGAATTTCGTCAAGAATTATTATTTGCAACCAATGAAAATGAGGTGAAACTACTTCTGTGGGCGAGAGCTCAGCAGCTGGCAGCTGAACAGTCAACAAAAAGGCGTAGATCATCCCAGTTTCAAGATTCTACAAATCAAAAATTTATCAAGGCAAGCTGAAAATAAGATAAAAATATTGATTTGTTGATATTTATGAATATGCATTTTTTTTTAAATTTCACAGACTGATTTGACTTAAAAACTAAACCTGCCAAACATGGTTAACAGATTTCCCTAAATGTAACATTCTTCACTCAAGTGACCTAGAATTACAAATTTTTCACTTACTACGTCAATGAAAACTTATTGTAGTTTCTGTGGAATTATACATTTTTTTTTCATTATTTCACTTGTTCGAGTTCCGAGTGGAGTGTAAAGCTCCACGCTTTTTAGTTCCAGTAGAGATGACGCTGCATTTACGAAGTGAGGTTTCTAGCCTCACTCCTAATCTTTAGTTTTTCCCGATCCGCTATCACTATGTGGGCTAGACGAGCTTGCGTACGTTGCCCAAGAATTAAACTCAAATCTCAAATTAGAAGACAATACTGTTGCAAAGACTGTGTACATAGAACACGCTTTCTTGTTAACGTTCCAATCAATGTATTAATAATAAGCTAATGAATTGAGAGTGGGCAAAATAAAAATAGATAAGTGTATCTGTTGTTTTTTTTCACCATTTGTATCACATGTTCATAAATGAACATGTTAGATGTTTTTCAAAGAAAATTTTAATTCTCTTCAGTCATCTACTATTTCATTTTATGAATGTGGGTATATCAGTTACATCAGTATTCAAAAGCAGCAATAATCAGAAAAATATTTAAAAGGATGTCTAAAATTCCCAGTTCAGGTAGACGCTTTTGTAATTGTTTGTTAATTTTTAAGCTTCTCATTTTTTCATCCAGTTCATTGAATACTTTAATGAAGTGAATATTTGGGGTAGATGGTTGCATACTTACAACCTGCTTTGACTCCTCAAGGTTCAGGTCTTGCCGTATCACTAATCCTTTTCCCAAACGTATAAATGTGTTATGTATATTGTGATATATGAAATGAAGAATTTTTTTATAGATATCTGGAAAGTTTCCATGCTTTGTACATGCTTACTCTTTCATAACAATTGAATAAACTTGTTCAGATCACTGAATGAAGACTAACAAATGAAATAATAAGCGGCAAAGTGGTTAGTAGGTACCATGCCAAATTATAAAGGATGGTTTGTCTTTTCTGTATTCTAAATCGGGGTGCAAAGATCATCAACAAATGTGCATTGGTTACGAAACAGCCACCGCTTCCCATTGTGATGAAATACTTATATCAATTAGGTGTTCATTCAATTATTTAAAAAGTCAGTCACATTCTTCATTACAAACTGTGGAAATTTTTAAATTTAGTGTCCCTAAAGAGATAGATATTTGTGATTAACTAGGAGATTTTATCGAAACGGTTTTCCACGAATAACATACTGGGAAACATGCAGACCTGTAAAAGAAGTGATTTTATGGGAAATAACTGTTATAATGCGGGAAAATCCTAAACAAATTTGCAGTTTAGTCACAAATAAATATCAGAAACAATAACTGACTGAAAAAAGCCGAATCTTCATGATAATAAAAAAAATAGCATTAGAAGTGACTTATGACTTCTTTCCTTACACACACCCAAAATATTATGATCGACAAATTAAGTTGATGTCACCTCCACAATAAACCACTTACTGTAATTATGATTACTGAACAAACTGGCAACTTGTGTACAATTAGGACGACAACAGTAACAAAATTATTGTTTATTATAATTGTTATCAGCTAAATAGATATTATTCAAATCCAGTTTTGTTTGTTTACTCATTATCCGTTTTATAGATAATAGGTGGTTTTTATTTTCGCAAGCTTCACATACTTATTTCATGTATATAATTGTTATTGTTAATCTTCTTATAATCATTAAATGAGAGTAATGTTTATTCTGTTCCGCAAATATATATAATCAGTAAATGATGAATACACTACATCACTATCACTACTAATATATCTTTTTTTCTTGGTGTCAAGACGCTTGAAATGACGCTTCTAATGGCATTATAATCGTCTTCATCAATGAGTTTCGGAATTTAATCACAAGTGCATAAATGAATAGTGAATTAAAATATAAGTAGAGATGCTATCAAAATCAGCACTTCATGCTGAAATGAAGACCTTTGACATCGTCAACCGTGAAGTAATCTGGAAACCATTTCAAAACTACAGGGTGTCCTAAACTTTCATAATCCACATTCAACATCTGTATGATAATGACACCTGCCATGTGATTCCTAACAGAAACCTCATCGAAACCTTTGAAGTGAAGACAAAAGTAAGACAAGACAGTCTGATATCACTGCATGACACAGTAGACCATGTAAGCGACGAGACAGGAATGCGTCAGATCAGTGAAAAGGAACTAGTGAGTTTTAACTTCGTTGCTGATTAATGTCTAGAACCATACAAACGCTAAGATACTCAAGTGGAAACCAGTATGTTGATAGAAAAAGAAGCAAAGGCAGGACTTAAAGTGAAGATGTGATGAAGACAGCTAACCAATGACAACAAGCACCAATCATTACCAAAAGGAAAAATTTGAAGGAAGTTACTCCTTCCACTTGCCTAGAGAGGATCGTTTTAACTATAGGCTTCGCGGATGGGGATGTCAAAGGCAGGAACGGAAAGCGAGACACTCCTTTATTAATCCGAAATCAATAGGGAAATCGGATGCATCGAGCACAAAGAACAAGATTTGAAATTTCAAAACTAATGTCAAATCAGTGCTTCTATAGGCTTCAGAGACGGCGCATGACGTAAAGTATTTCTAACAACCCGCCAACTTGCATCAACAGCTGCCTTCGCTTCATATGAAATATAAAACGGCCGGCCACAAAGAAGTAGCAGCAAAGGACTCTGACAACGGACCAATCAAGAATCCATTGCCCAACAAATATCAGACACACATATACCAAAGAGACCATTTCCTGACATTACAAGCCAGACCCAAGAGTGAAGGCCGTCGGTAACATACAGAGTACTATACAGGGATGAAATGATAGTTTATGGACAATTGTGAAGGCACCTAAAGAAGACTACAGAGAACAAAGTGAAAAGTGATGTGATACTGAATCCACATATCCCTCTCGGAACCCAAGAGAATATTACTAATAATTACAAATGAGTTTAACTGTTACTCGACGGGATAGGTTTAACAGTTTAGGGGTTTTCGCATAACTGTTATTAACTTAATTGGTTTTGTTAGCAAAATCAATAAGCGTCTATCAAAACGACTGACCTCTGTAATAGATCACCTGTTTGATGCAGTAAACGTGGAATATAAATAAAAGTCAATCCACTTTTAATACTGTCAGTCCTTGTGAGTCAGCATACATTCTAATGTCAGCATGAATGCGAAAATTAAGGTATGCTATTAGCATAGTTTTTAACATATTGCCAAAAGGGAAACAATATAAATTATGACTTTGTGTCTGAACCAAGAAGATATTAATAGTAAACAAAGTCTAGTGAAAATAAACAATGATTATTAAATTATACAGATGTGAATGTTAGCTACTGTAAACATATTTAGTAAATAAAAATAATAATCATCAGATAGTCGCATACCTTCCTTTAATTAACTTATTGCCATGATCCGTACTCATTTATAGCATCATTAGAAACCAGAGACCACTAAACAGCTGTTTTGCTCTAGTTCGGAAGTCTTCAGAGGTGAGCACACTTGACACCACATGAGATTGCACACAGGACCTTCATTCTGCTATCCAAATCTTTTGATTATTCAACCACCAGACTGGAATTCACTGACTGCGCACTTCAAAATTCTGGTATAACAACATTTCCTTAGTTGATATAAGCTCGTGACGAAAACTGCCCTGAAATACAATAATCCTCTAAAATTTGAGATATTAATATCCTGTATGTTAGTAAGAGTTAGTTAGAGTTAGTGTCCTGAAGTTCTAGTGGAAAGGTATGACTAGTAAGGTCTGCATGTTGGATAAGGAGCACTGAATAACAGGGGGCAACTAAAAGAAGTTAATATTCCTGTTTTGCTCAACTACAACTAATTGCGTATCTTAAAAGCATGCTAGTTTTGCAAACTGAACATCTTAAATCTAGCGCCTGATATCAGAAGTGTGCACTGGTGAAGAGTTCAAAATAGGGACAAAACAAGGTGTCCATCCGTCTTTGATTTAATCTACATCAAAATATCTGTATCTTTAGTATCTTAATGTTTCTGTGTACGAAATGAATGAATTAAATGTTGATGATGAAGTACTGATGTAGTAAAAGTGTCTTTTATTCAGAATTCAATTAACACCATATACAACACATCTTCTACAACAAAACTTAGTAAACTTAAGAAATGTACACAAAGGTTGTATTTCTTTAATGTCACATTTTTATTTCGTCAGCTACAGTCTACATTGCATCTAATTCTGGAGGAGGCATAAGATATACGCCATAGTTATGTGATCTTTTGAAGACAAATCATCAAATAAAGGTTTGTCTACATAAACTTGGTAACAGAATCTTTATATGGAATTTGATATCTCTACATAGAGAAAGTACGTTCACCTTATCTGTAAATCGTCATTTGCACAGATCTTTCGTGCTGTGCAATTTCTGCACTTCGTATTGTGCTACTTTGTCTTCTTTTCGTGTTTCCCATGTTTCACCGCAGCGCTAGTTCATTTGTTCTCTTTGACTTCAAGTCTGTCACTCCGCTGGTAAGTGTAACCTCATATACCTCTGATAAATTTTGTCAGTGGCACACACCACAAAGGTACAGGAACTAACAGCAATGAAATCTGATGTGTATAACAAACACTTTATGCTGACCTGACTTATTCACTGGCATTATAACAAATTATTACTATCCAGTTTTGTGCTTCGGAGTTGAAAACTGGACTGAGATGTATTGACAGTGTAGTTCACCCATGTACATGATATTCAAAGTAATGGGATTAAACACTCAAATCTACAAAAAAAGTAATATTGTATGTATTCAAACATTATAAATTACCTTATTTGGTTGATACACATTACATGTAGGAAGAATGAACTTTATGTGCATGACCTTCCTCTGGCTTCGGCGAATAAGTGATAATGTCACAATATCTTATTGCTTTGAACCTATACAAACATTATATATTCATTACAATAAATGTTTTGTATTTCCCAATGAATGAAAAACAAAACGATATTGTTCTTACTGACGTTTCGCTATTTAGTGCTAATAGCTTTATCAAAGTATTATTATTAAACCGGAATTTACAAAATCTCAGCATATGTATAACAAAGAGTTAGGGGATGAGAAAATAGACTTAGTTCAAATTTAAAAGGACATATTCAAAGTAAAAATAACAATGAACATCACTGAACCAAATAACAAAGGTGATAGTACGTCTGTTATGATATCAAAACAAAGTCTACTAACTTGATCATCGTTCGTCAGTCTGGGGTCATTTTTCGTTGTCAAGTTGGCCAATTGGTAAAGATAACAAAACTAAGTGTAGCTTGTTGGATTTGAGCAGTGTGTGTTTACATAGTGAACTTGCATATCACATTCGTGTTGATTTTGTCACTTCATGGGGAAGGTAGGAGAGGTGTTGTAACCAGGTCATATTCTGTTTTAGTCCATCATTCCTATTCAAACAATTTGGATTCCACTTGATATGAAGTGCTTCTGATATTAGACGTTCTTTGTGATTTCCGAAATTTTTCTGAATGGAAATTTCAATATTGTCAAAATCAATTTTGTGGCCTGATTCTATAGCGTGTAGACAAACTACAGCTGATGATTTTTTAAGTTGTTCTAGTTCAACCGGATTTCTTGGTGGTCGAAGAGGTGCTCTACGGTGTTCATTTCTGCTGTTTTTGATTTCTCGCGATGTTTGTCCGATGTATATCGCATCAAATTCCAAGCATTTTATTTTATAGACACAATTAGACAAAGAATCTTTAGGGATTTGGTCTTTTTATGGACAAGGTTGTTTCGTAGTGTGTCTGGTGTTTTGAAGAAAACTCTAATGTCGAGCTGATTGAGTACTCTTCTGATATCGTCTAACGTCTCTGCTCTATATGGAATGACGACTGTTGAGGTCCATGTTTTCGGCCATTTTTATATCATAAAAAATTAACATATTCGTGAGAAACGTTTTTCAAAGGTTTTGAACGACATCTGTCGTGTAACAATAGGCGCCCTAATTGACTGAATCTTAATATTTTTCCATGACTCTTTGTTCTAGTTGACCTATGAAATCCTGTTTTCCGTTATCAGTGCTGAGTTTCATTTCAGCATTTTTAGGAAAAATAAAAACAACATTTCAAAAGGTAAGATATCAATACAAGCTACTTGCTTTTACAATAAGTTCACCAAAGTGCCTGAGTCCTGAAATATCGAGTATTATTCTCAACGTCATCATGGTATAAAAGTCATCACCCATCAACCTACAAATTTTTTCTACTGTGATGGTTTATACTATGAGTGACTGTGAACTTTTAATGCTTTAACAGGTGACCAGATTATCAAAGTATGCTACGAATTCTACAATATACCAAATATTCTGTAAACATGGGTGGAAACTGAAGTACTTGGTACTTAGCTTCATTTAAAGATTAAACTTAGTACCATAAAGGTAAGCTACGTAAAACACAAAGCTGAACCACAACTCATGATAACTTGAATAGAAAGCGTCTGACACTAGTTGTGTAGGTTGTTTTAACTGCTGACTAGGGTAAGACAATTTAACAAAACAATGAGTAAAAAGTAGTTTTGTAAAGTTCTGTGTTAATTGATAAATTTATTTTTCTAGGATTCTCAGTCCATGATAGGCAAAGGAATATACCTAGACTTGAAACGGAAAATACCATATTATTGGTCCGACATAACTGAAGGTACGTAGCATTTCTGTGGCATATATTTTGTAAATGGCTTTGAAATAATTAAGACATTGTATGATTTGACCAAATGAATATATATATATATATATATATATATATATATTTATAAACAGGATTAAGCAAACAGTATGAATAATAAGACCAATGCTCAAACATAGTGTCCTAATCCACAGGCAATATTTATCTACTGATAAACTTAACTTCCAAACACTATTATATAATGTACTCTTTGAGATTATCTAGATTTCTGTGTTGAGTAATTTTACTCTAAGACCCGTTCTGTCACTAACAAAAGTACTAATATGTTCCAACTGAGTGACGAAACAGAATACAGGTTCAAAAATATGTGTCGAGTCAGTCAAAGAATTATTGGTTGATCAAAAACGTCTTATTCAGTCGATTTTAGTGTAATATGTGGTGTAATTCAGTTTAAAAAAGGAAGGTTATAGATAATGCAAGACTGAAAGACCTATGTATAAAACACTGAAGTGACAGAATGACAATATAACCGTAAAAATTGAATACAACATTAGAACAATCTTTCATTATAGAAAGATATCAGAAACTAAAGACAAAACAGTGCGAAAACCAAAATAATGCGTCGTGTTACTTAGAATGACGTTGACTGATTGATTGATTGATTGATATATGTACACTCGTTTTGGCTAGTAAGTGCATTTTAAGCTTCTGTTACACTTTAGTTCAGAGATTATACACAGTGCACACCGAAAATTTTAAATGATTTCTTATGATAAAACATCAGTCATCATATTTCTATTCAGTCGTGTTTTTTTTAAATGAGTTAGTGCACTCTGAATTCTTCATTTTTGTGTGTTTTAAAGTGCAGAGTGATTGTAGTTATTAAAAACCTAAAGTGACAGTTTCACAGTATTTATTATGTGTGAAGAATGCACTAATTGCAATAAGCTAACAGAGAATTTCAGAACTGTCATCCACAGTGTTGGATAATTTTCCTTACACAGAGAAGATTCATTTTTTTTTTTGGCTAGAGATGCGTTGTTTTAGCAGTCCATACTCCATAGTCGAATTTTTCTACCTATTTCCACCTATCTCACATGTCTGATACCAAAAAAAACATGGCAACACATTTGTTGGAGGTAAATAAAGTGATAGACTGAGGATTAGCTATAATCATACACCTGAAACAGAGATCTATAGGTCCTGTTAATTGATAACTTTTCTATTACCCAATATTGAACTAATTATATTTGCTTAAAATAATATAAACACACTTCCACTTTTTTCACATTCTTTCTAAAAATTTAAGGTGTTCGTGGAAAACACTCTCTACGTAAAACTATATCAACAACCATTTTCCTTTATTTTGCCTGTTTACTACCGTCAATTGCGTTTGGATTATTGAATTCAAGGAATACAGAGAAGAAAATGGGTAAGAGATAAAAAGTAAAATGAGAATGTGAATGTATCTCGCCTCCCTTTTCCTTTCCCTTTTCCCTTATTCTTCCTTCCTACTTCAGTGTTTCAGTTATTGAGCTAATAAGTAGGGAATTTTGTTCCATGCTTTCCTCCAGTTGTGTGCCCGCCTTCTCTGCCTACTTTAAAAATTTCATAGCTACACTGTTTAACAAGAAATATTTTTTAGCGATTTTGTTTGTTTGATTTATTTTGACATTAATTCACTAAGGATTTAATTTTTTGAAAAAAAATAACTAATTTTTTGTACGTCAAAGATACACGATAGTTAGTAAAGATAATTTCAATGTCAAATGAAGTTAACCGGTTTGAAGTTCACTTAATGGAATGTCATCCCTTAGCCACCTAACAGATAGTAATTACGGCAGTCTTCATTTTTCAACAAACTTTATACTTTGAAATTAATAAACATATTGAATGAATGCAGTCAGCCGTTTAGTTTTTATTAAGAAAATATCTATAAGATTCGGTCTTAATAACTTACGAAGAAGATTAACTCAAAATAAAAGTGTTATCATATCATCTTTACTTTACCATAACAAAACTAATCAATACACCAGGAATAAACTGGGAATTCGGGCATATATAAATAATTAGCCGAGTTGCAGGTGTTCAAGTCTGCAGTTATATAACAATAAGAAAGTCAGCGAACTTGACAATCCTGAATGTGGTTACGCACTGAAATAAATTACTTAAATGATGGTAGGGACTACCTAGTGACCTCCAGTATTTGTCCATCCCTAAGTGATTTTATTTTACTACAGTGATGTTGTTTTTCGCATGTCAGAACCTGTATTTTTCTCACTCAGTAAATGTGAGCCGAGTAGTGTTATTATTTTTTGATTACAGCTTGATTCCACACTGTATTTTTGGTACAAGTATGGAATTTTCAGCGTGGATATCGGTAGCCCAAATTTCTCAGGCCGACCATAGATATCAGGTGTGCGTCGGCGTGGGCTCGAACCCCGGACCATGTGCATGGTCGGCGAGAGTCCTAACCACTGTGCCACCGCATTTACATAGTGATCACGTTTACGCTAATGTAAACTTACTGAAAACTTGTATTTCTAATATTGAAAAACTGATTACTGAGTAAGTAAAATAACAATATGCATAACAAATAGTACGAAACAACGTTTTAATTGGTCGAAGAATTGTACTGGGGGCCACTATGTTGTGAATAAGAAAATTAACTTAGCCTGTTTCATCCTCTCAGACTTGCTTGGTTTACTAGCTGACCGTAAGCCTGAAAGAACAGACAATTCAGCCTGAAGTTCACCAACCTACTCCGGGAAACTGATCCGATCATTATAGGAACGTTAGAGGACAGAAAAACTAACTTTTCACCGGAATCAGGGAGGCAGGAAATCAGAGGCTGGTGAGAACCCTCTGTAAACCAGTCCACCAATATATCTTCTTTCGAAAAAAGATAAATTAAACATGGAAACTTGTTATGTCCGCAAAATGTTTGAAGCTGCACAGGCTGCTTAGACTGCAAAACTATGAGAATATATCGCATAAAAGTGATAGAATTCCGTCAGGATAGATCGCCCCTTCAAATTGTTAACTGAAGAGCCAGTAGTCTACTCCAGTCAAACAGAATACAACCACGCAAACACTGAGAGACGGTCATCATGATGTGGCTAACTTCATTGAAAGCTCTTATGCAGTGGGATGAAACATCCTTCAAGAGTATGACAACAGGATCCTACCCTTAAGGTAGGAAAGTTACAACTATCTAATACTAAATGCCTATGAACAAAGCAGAGCAAAAGAAGATTTTTACAGGCAATTGGGAAATATAAGATGGACTAGACCTCCAAATAGTGATATCAAACTCTGATGGGCGGCATAAATAAGATTTAACTAGGAACAGATAAAACACCAAAAAACACCATGTTTTGAGTTACGCCACCTCTATAGTAGTTTACTCTTTAATAAATTCATTTTATTCCATGAGATTCAATTCTGAACGTTGCGCATTATGTCTATATTAGTATTTCCAACAAATATTTTACTAGGAGATTTTGTATGATGAAATCAGAAACCCTAGTCATTGAATAAGTTAATATTAACTAAACTGGATCGATTTTACAAAAGTTAGCTCAACTCATGTAAGTGAAGAGATGGAACATTACTAAGAGATCACCCGTTTTCCTTCCATTAACTTTACATCATTTATCTTCATTGCTTCTGTTCTGACTGAAACATTTTTTATTTCCTTCACGTTCATAGGGCCTAAAGCTAGTGGCTTGAAGTTTCTGTAGAGCAGTGTTTCATTTTACAGGATGGGGTTGTTAGCCTCATGCCCAGCCTTTCCTCTTTACCAGTCTCACAACTGGTTTAGCGAGGTAAAGGAGTGCGTCCTGTGGCCGGAGATCGAACCCCGGACCATTTGCATGCTTGGCGAGCGTCCTAACCGCTGTACCACCGACGTAGATAGGTCTTCACATTTTGGAAGTCCCAGTATTGGTGATGTTGATTTTAGCATGTGAGATTGCAGACCTCACACACAATCTTCTCTCTTTTAAGATTACCATCACCTGGTAAAGTAGGTATGGTTAGGGAATGTGTCAGCTGTGAGAGCAACCCACACTATATGCGCGTAAATAGCCAACATTTTACCAACGAACCACTGATGCCTAGCAGAATTATAAAAGTGAATTCAACACTGATTTACAAATTTTGGAATGAAGTCAAGTAATCTGAAAACGGAATAAAAATCCTAAAGACGGATGTCATATTTCAGACATAAAATTAAAGGCTGGTGGTTCAATCGACAACAAGACGATTAATAGAAAACTTTGTTGTTTTCAAATTAAAAATTGTCTAAAAATTGGATAAAAAGAATCAGGGAAAAATATTTTCCAAAAATAATTATTTCATTTTCAATGAACCAGACCTCTGCGTAGGCATGAAATTAAAATTAAAAATCGTTAGGAATAATTCAACGAAAGAGCACCAGCAGTTAATAATTATTGAGAGTTATTGATCCTACTGAATTAACCTCAGTAGGTAGGCTTATCCCAGTCTACACAGATGACAATGCATAATTACAGGAGCGTGACTTTTTCGTCTGTATCCCACTGTGAACCAGGTTTTTTTTAATGAAAAAGTTTCACTGACTGTACTTCAGCTTTATTAGTCCTTTATCACTAAATTTATTTTTAAATTTTCAGAAATGAGATTCATATGGGAAACGTACTTTATTTCTTTACCTAAACTTCTGAATTTTTTAATTAAGTTTTACTCATCAGTCTGTTTCTGCAGATAAAATGCAAATTTAAGAAATTAACTCATCTACTTTCAAAGCTTTTCTTGCTTACAAAAATTAACTAAAATTAAAGTGAAAAGTAGATTACAAAATTTTCAGACTACATTTGAATAACTACTGATATTGACGGAAAAGTGATCCGATAAGTAATAAATAACATTCATTTTAGTATATTTCATTAAAACAAATATGTTAAAAACTTTTTTCACTTTGAAATGAACTTATCATTCCTTGAAATATTATGAGATATTATCTTGGTGTAGAAGGGCAATACCAGCAGTGCAAAGGACAAGAAAAACTAAATCAAAACATAGTGTGAATGAAAATGTAAAACTAACAGCTAAGTGAAATTAGAAAATGAAACGCCAGTATTAACAGAATTTAAAACTCTACTCTTTAAAAATGCTGACTGAACTGAGAATTTAACACAATATTCTTAATTCATTTCAAACAGTCTATCAAAAAAGGCTGTTCAATTCAGTGCATATTTAAATGGTCATCTACAACTCATCTAGAAATACTACCAACAGCAAGCAGTGCTACTAATACCCAGAAAGGCACCAGGACAGGACAGAATTCCTTCTGAAGCATCGAAAACTGATTCAGAGGCTTCAACTAAAATGCTGCCTCCATTACTGCAAAATGTTTGGGAAGAAGAAAAGGTACCTACCAATTGGAAGTAAGGCGAAACTACAAAAGTAGGGTGACTTTGATAGGTGTGCTGCGTTCACCTTAGGACGCGAGTCGAATATGGCATTTCCAGTCCTCGACGTACTAAATACCAGAAGACAAGATTGTACAATCCAAAGATTGATGTATTGCAAGCTAACATGGACGGGCCAGTTTGTCAACTTCCAGAGCTTCGTCCCACTGATCCGAAAGCAAAGTATATTGGCCGTACGCAAAGTTACATCCACAAACGTATTCTGGAACATTGTGCAGCCTGATTAGCCAGAAGAGAATAGAACAACAGTAGAGATGTATCATCGAAAACCGTGTCAACTCTGGAAATCGAGCACCTCCGAATGAATGCTTTACAGTGCTACAAAGAGTCCCTCAATATCGTAAAAACAGACTTCGGATACGCCATGTGTAAATAGCTGGAGCATTAGCTATCGGGGAATTGAAACCAGACCTCTACATTCAAAAGCACTACATACATTCACTCGCCCTACTGTGGCCAGAGTAAAGCTCTTGCTGTAATTTTGCTTCTTTTTATAATTTAAGTCTACTATTATTATTGTTATTACTATAATTATTTTATTATCATTATTATTCCCATCATCCATTTTTTAAAACCACTCTATTACTGTTTGATAATAACATTGCGCTTTCATACAGATTTTATATAAAAACACTTTATCGCCTTTCGACTGCATGAGCTTGTTGAATAGCCATTATCTCACGCTTATTAAGTCATGCCAAATTCTGCCTCTTTTCTAACTTCCAATTAATCATCCCTTCTAGGTTGCACCTTACATTACGTAATTCATTTTTTGATGACAAAGTTTACTAGTATCTGATTGATCTAATTATTTCTTTGTTAACTTTAATTACGGTCGCATAGCTCATGAAAATGAATCGTCGAAAAGAAAATTTTCTTCACTGTTACGTCTTTTTCTTATCTATGTTGTCAAAATTAGTTTCACTATTATTTTCATTTTACTTTTGACCTTCTTTTT